ACTGTATAGATGAATATTTTGATACATTATAAAATCATATTACCTCTGTTTGATTTTATTAACAAGCACTATTTATTAAAATACTCATAATCTTATTGGGAAGCAGTTTATACAATAAACACTTTAATTTTCTCACATCTCCTTATTGCCATCCCCCACTACCACCAGAGATTGAACTCAGAGGCACTTTATCACTGAGCCACATTCCCAGCCCTATTTTGTATTCTATTTAGAGACAGTCTCACGGAGTTGTTTAGCGCCTTGCTTTTGCTGAGGCTGGCTTTGAATCCTCAATCCTCCTGCCTCTACCTTCCTGGGACTTCACGCATGGGCCACCATGCCTGGCCTCCTTATTGCTATTTTTAACTTATTAGTCTTCCCACACCCAACTTCTCAACTCATTCTTCAATTTCAGCAAAAGTATCTTTCCTCCCATTTAAGGTTATCTACACAATTCATAGCTCATCATGTGTGTCTTCCTATCTCTTCTTAGATCTTGCCCTCTGTTATAAAGAGGAATGAGATAATTAGGCTCCTTAGGATCCAATCCAGAAATCTCTAGTGCTTATTCTGTTATGTGTATTTTGATGGGTAGTCTTTTTGTGGAATTATCCTCTTCATAAATTGTCCACAAACCCTGGATTTTGCTACATTTCCAAGTACATACAGGAATTTCCCTCCTCAGTGTTCTCCCTCCCTAAACTGATCTGAATACCTTCCTCTACAAACTCCCTTCTCAGCCAACAATGTGGATCATTGAATACTGGGGTAGAATCTTTTGGCTCCTGTTTCAAAATAAATTTTTTACTTAGTGCTACCAACATTCAATGGGACTCTGCTGCTATACTATTCTCCCAAAAAATATTACCTTATTACATTATTTTCCTGTTCACAAAATAATAGATGACCCCTCCTTGTCTAATGCACAATTCTCAGATTTCTCTACTCAGTTACCAAAGACCCCTGAAACCCAGCCTTATTTCCTATTATCATACAGCACACGATATCTGTGCCATCAAACTAGATTTCTTTCTCCCCCGAAAACCCTTGACTTTGCTCACATTACATGGCGCCCCCTCCCAATTTCCTTCTCTGCTTTCTGGTTAGTAGACAAGATTTAATAAGAAAATACCTGAGGGGAAAACTGAAAATAATTTAAATCATCCACCACCAAGTCAAGTTCCCAACCTTGTAACTGGTCCCCCTTCCTTCAACTCCTCATCTCTTACTTCTTCCTCCTTTTTACCCCTTTCATCTTCTAGGTTTGGGGTATGTGTTCGAATTATACATTCCTGCTCCAGTTAAAATCATTCCACCTTTTACAAAGTTACTGACTTTCCTAAACCTATCAGTCAAGGTCCAATTCCAGATACTTCTCCTCCACGAAGACTTCAGCAAGGCAACCCACCATCATTTCAACTTTCTTCAGATTGTTCCTGGGCTCCAAGACAAAAAAAAAGTCAAGATGTACTAATTTTAAATCTTTCCCAAAGACTTCATCTCAGCTTTGAATATACTCCATGCTCTTAATAAGGCCTTCCAATATATTTATTAATTGCTTAAACATAAACAATTATAGGAAAATATACCTATAAATTATTTTAATATGTAAATTCATAACTATCTCAAACTAAAAAAGAAAGGCTAAAAATAAAGAAAGACAAATCTTTTCTTTCTTTCTTTTTTTTTTCACAACTGCTTTTAATCTCTTTCTCCATCTTTTGCAATTCTGCTCAAATTACCCCATAGCTCAGTCTTGATTTTTATCTACTTCCTCTGTTGCCTGCTTGCCCTCTAGTGGAAGGTGATAATAAATGAGTAAAAATTATCCCCCCAAAATAAAGATGAGGGTTCCTATTCAGCAACTCATTTTGGTGAAATCAATAACTTTT